ATAAGTGTGTTTTCCAGTAAAACACTTACCACGTCCTTATGTGTATTGTACTTCAAGTGTGTGTTAGTGGTGTAAGTGCCATCCTTGTGAACCTATACTATCAGAGTAATTGGATGATGGTCAAGAACATCTCATTCTTGTTCTCGGGAGCCTGTTTGCTGACATCTGATTTTTTGAAGTGACTCATATTTGAAGGAACGCTTCAACAGTGATTCATCTTGTCTAGTTTTTAGCTGGGTTTCAGACCAAACGAATACCATTGACTACAAGAATAAAACATTTAGGAGCCATATGACTTTTTTTAGTTGATAAATTATAGAATTGCTTGGTACAAATGGTAGTTCAGACCAGTCTGTAGACTGATGTACTTTGAGTAACAATTCCTGGTTCATTTCTAATCGAAAAACGACTCGCGCAATTCATCAACGGCTCTAAATGATTCACTGACTACGTGAATATGACTCAAACAGATAAGAGTTCTACATATTTATCTCAGTGATTAAAAAGAACTGCTTCATAAGAGTTGTTTGTCTGCTTCATAGAGTTGTCTAATAATGAGGTGATATTTAAAGATATCTGATATAATGATATTATATAACTAGACTAGGTTAGATTTTAAGCTATTTTTTTCTTGTCACATTTGGTAATATTTAGCCCTATATGAAAATGAACCATAGTTTTATTGTAGTTAAAGTGTAATAACCATGTTTTTTGGCAGATTGATTACCATTTGTATAACCACAGTTTTACTACAAATAACATGGTTAAACTGTGGTTAGTGTAACAAAACCATGGTTAATTTTTGCAAGGGAGGTCATGTTCTTAAGATCTGATAAGTGAGATCTGGTTATTATTTAAAGATTCATATGTTTCTTTCCTAATTAGTGAAATTAAGATGAACAAACACCTAACACTGGACTGCATTTACTACCGACATAAATGATACCTCAAAATGTGGTTTGTTGAAAATGGGTGTTAAAAATCCAACAAAATAGAACTTTTAGATCAGTTTAGATGCTATATTGAATTTAACACAGATGAAAAATCCGAGGTCACATCATTTTTTACAACTTTCAAAACTGTTTCTTTTTTCAGGAAAGACATTTCTTCAGTAGAACAGGTAATTGTTAAAGTACAATCCATTGAATGCACTGTACTTCTATTCCCCACGGATTTAAATTCTTCACAAATTAAACATGGTGCATCCTGACTAAGGTCTATTATAATAGAAAGTGGGCACTTTCGTTTCAGACCAGAAACCACCTTATCAACCACACAGCAGTATGCTAAAACCACTTAAAACTCCTAAGCAACTGCCTAGCAATGCCCTAGCAAACACATGCAGATTTTTTCAATGTAATTTTCCTGAGCACCATTAAATTGAATCACAATATCATTGTTTGCTTGTTTTTTGTTGGCCATTGTGATGGTGTCACGAATCCGGTCCATGAACTTTCCAATTCATTGACTCTCGCACTACACACTGTTGCTTAGCCTTAGCCTTAGCCCTAGCCCTAGCCCTAGCCTAGCTGTTTTCCCGGTTTCTGATCTTCGCCTGGTTTCCTGGATTTCTCCCTTAGTCTTGCCCCTTCTGACTCTGTCTGCCCATCGTCGACCCACGCTAGCCCTAGGACTGTTCTTGTGTCTTGCCCACCATATACCTGTCTGCCTCTGTTTGACCCTGCCTGCTTCATGACCACGTCTCTGTCTTCTCCACAATAAAGCCTTGCAGATGGATCCGCACGTCTCACGTCTCGTCAGCCCCGTAACAGATGGTCCCTGATAGTTACAGTATGTTTTTGTACTCTGTTTGCTTAGACAAGGGTAATGAACCACTGCGATGACATTTAGCCCTCCTAGGACAAGAAAAATCGATAGTTTATACAGCTTGCGAAACCACCATTATTTTAAAAGCTTTCTTATGAAGAGTTTGTGCAAGACTGACACATTCTAACCCCCAGGCCCCTAAAAGCTCCTACTTATGCAACCCTCCGGTGAAAAAGAACAGCAACAATGATTTGTGCTGTCTTTTTAATCACTTAAAGACACTGGTATTTCCTGGTTCTCAGTTGCTGTGTGGACACTGAACATCTAGAGCGTAGCGGCTCTAAAAACGCCTCCACTCCAGCTTGTTTGTTTAATTGCCATTTAAAGAAAAACAGAATATTTAGCATTTGACCCAGGGTCTCTGCATTCTTGCGGTGCATCCTTTGCCAATATAGCAGATCAGCAGCTTTATTACAATGTCCCCAGTGCTTTGTCCTTTCCATGAGATCTGTTGTGTTTTGTTCTTTTATATGTATTTGCATTTCTTTGGCCACTGGTACATTACATACACACAAACAGATGCAGATAAGCACTAAACTGCACACATCTGCCTCACAGGTCTATCTGCGTATTAAATGGAAGATTATCTTTTCCAAGAAAAGCAGCCAATAAGATGAGGAATGTTTCATTTGGCTGGCAAGTTTATCAGTGCAGGTCAGATGAGTATTATTTTCATCACTAAGAGACTGTTTCATGCTGACTCCCCAAATGTTGCTTTTGAACTTCAGACAGCACTGAGTGATATGCAATAAAAACTTCCCATGTACTGTAGTTTTGTAAGACAACATCCGTATTGATGCAGTAACATTAGTTTTGTTTGTCAAAACTTGGACTATTTCATGTAAATATGGCAACAACAAAAAAAGATGCAAATGTCAGTCTGGATATCTGACTGTGATTTGGCCTTAAGTATGCATATAAGAAATACACATAAAATGCCTTTGTTACAGTAGCAACACTCATAAATGCAGATGTTATGAATATAAACATAGTTAATAAACTGAATAAAATGAAATTGTAAAAACCAAGATAAATCAAATACAAATATTTAAAATAAAAATAGTTTAAATTATAAGTTAATAAATAGCCTATGGCATAAATATCTCCCACTTAAACCATTCGAAAACAGGCAAATCCTGTCTCCAAGTAACGCATAAACTTGACTTCATTTTTGTGTACGAGTTGAGTGTATTATTGAAATTTCTGTGAAATTTAGGGCTCACACACTTTTGAAGGAAGTAGATTTCTTTTGTTCAACACAGGAATTTAACCAACGGAACCTGATGCGAAATCTGTGTGGGGAAATCATTCCACCGAAAATTCCAATCTCATGGATTCCAATTGAAATTGGTTGGATTTTGCCCACGAAAATTCGCCGAAGAGTAGCCTAAATACAACCGCACATTCTGTATGATTCTAGGACCAACCCCACTCCTGTTTTTACCTCAACTCCTGGATTTCCTTGACAGAGCGACAAACCCAGCTCGGAACGTGAGAGAAAAACGAGAAAACTCAGGCGGGACACTCAAAAAAACTCGCTCCTCGCTGCGCAAAATCCCACCGCTCAATTTATTTTCACGACGGAAAACACAAACACTCCGACTTTCAAAAAGCAAGCGGAACGCCGTGAACAAGCACAAGGGAAGTTCAAACGGCGAAACGTCATAGCGTTCTTATATTAAAATATCACACGCGGAACGCCATTCGGACAAACAAATTGTGTATGATGCCTGTTTTTTGCTGTTATGATTTGAGGTATCATTTACGTCTATATTTATCTTAAAGCTGCAGTCCGTAAGTTTTGCCTCTTTGTCGCCATCTCTGTTTGAAAACCTGCAATTGCAGCTGTGTGCGGAATTATCTTCCTTGCGTGGGTTGTGAGTCGGATGAATCTAATGTTCTGAAGATTATGTGTGGCAGTCAGTCACCCCACCAGTGTGGATATTTACTGTACTTCGCAATCACAGATTCTAGCCTACGTCTTGGAATATATGACCCAAATAAGAATTGTCACCGTATATTGCCATCTGAACAAGTAAGTAACAAGTCTGCCATGTTTGTTCTGACCAACTGAGGAAAAAAGCATTACAATAAATCGTGCTACCAATGGTGATTTAATTTAATTTAACTTAGCTCATATTACATCAAACCGTGCAAATTATTATTGTTATTATACTTTATTCTCTAATTATTAATGTTAACAACATCAGCATTGCGTGATGAGTATAGTGTGTAATAGTGTGTAGATTTTTGAATTTCATATTAAGAAATTCTTTTACCCAAAAAGCAAATTATGCTCCCTTCGAACTGGTTGTCTTTAAAATACAAATCTTGTGTAATCCCAGGCTATCTGTAATCAGAAGCACATTTAAAACTGGAATATAATTTAATTTCATTCACATGTGTTTCATAAACACATAATCCTTTCTGGATTACAATCCGCCATCAAATTGATACATTTAATTATTCCAGCTGCTGTGAGAAAAGGCTACCATCGATCGGCCACCTGCAGGATCCTCACATGTGATAGCCTTCTAGCCGGGATAACTACTTTATGTTTACAGAAGTGACGTAATGACGCAGCAGCATGCTCGAATTTCCCACGAAAACCTACCCCTACCACTCAAATTAGTAAACATTATTATAAGTTAACCGTTATGAATCGGGCTAAAGTAAGGCGATAGTTTTGAACACTGTCTGGTTATGTACTTGCTCAAATATTGATTTCGGATCATTTTGAACCAAAAAAAGTTATGGACTGCAGCATTAATTATATTCCTGCCTTGCTTCAATAATACAAACTTCACCATAGTTCCTACTCATGCACACATCAGTCTAGCCTATAGCCTATAGATAAGCATGCATGCCTACAAATTTACAAGAGTGGTCTATTTTTAATTTCAGAATGACCTTGAATATCCACTGCCCCCTCTAAGAAATGTGTGAACATGTTGTGAAACGTGTGTGTGTGTGTGTTTTCCACCTCAACAAAATGAAAACATCAAATGTAAATCTTTCCGTTGGCATTGGCATTTCTTCAAATTTTGTAAGGATAGGATGCATAATGCATTTGTGACATAACATGTTATAAACTTCACGTTGTTCCACAGGAAGCAGAGGCTTGCAGAACCTATCAGCATATTTCGGAACACAGACTGACCCACAATATGGCTGTGTGATCTTCCTATACGGGGTACATCTTGAAGACAGTGATTATGAAGACATACTTGGCGTGAAGCTCGAGTTGCTAACCTCAGCACAAGCTCTGCCAACCACAGTACAACTGTGCTTCAGTTGTTCAGCCACTGTGACGCTATGACCTGAAGACCTGCCTGTCAGAAAAATTATTTTAAAGACTTTCTAAGTGGTTTTAAAATACTTTTTTTGACCCTGTTTATTCATTTTAACCAGAACATTTAGAAAACTTCACAGAGATTAATCAGTATTAGAGATGTTTGCTATTATTTTTGCATATATTTAAGGCTACCAACCGCAATGTTTGTGCTACACACATGAATATCTCAAATTATGCACTTTTTTAAGGAGAGACTGTTATTTTTCTAACCAATTGGACTTTTGACTTATTCACTTAGTGAAAGATAAACCAGGTGAAAATCCCATAGACTTGCATTGAAAGAGCCACATGACTTTTGAACTGGTAAGCAAACACCAGATACACCAGAACATAGGATTATGACTGTCAAAGGATCACTCACATTTTCTTACAAAAAGGTACAAATTAGTTTAAAAATGACTGGAAACTAATCAAAAGTAATGATTTGTGATTACTTGCGCCCCTACCCCAACCCGGCCGGAGATTTCATGCCTCGCTGACTCTCACTTTCTCCCTCTTTATCAGATACAACCCGACCAGAACAAACATTCGTACCTTCCTCTTGTTTAATTTACAGTAAATGTAGCCAAATAAAGGCCTCTCACATTTAATATCTCATGCTGTACCGATGGTCCAGTCCAAATTATGAACTCTGTGAAAAACCGTCTCCGATCCTTTTATACATTCACAACACACATTGGCTGACGTTTGTGTTCTTAGCTTGCATTCATTTTCTTATAGAAATAAGCAGTCGTAAAATGAGATCATGACCCCTGGATTTTGGTGAAACTTGGTCAGACTACAAAGTCCTCATGTTTTGGCTTTGTAGACACTTCTAAAGAGCAGTTCACACCAAGTGCTAACTTTAAACATGCCGTTTTAATAAAAATAACTCCCTAAAGGGAAATGATGATGGACAAAATATGGGAGGGAAAAATATATTTCAATGTTTTTCAGTGCATTCTTTTGCAAAAGTTTTGCATTCCAGTCAAAGTTCCTGAGAATGTTTCTTTCATTTTTCAAAACCTTTGCACTTTCCAGAGAAACTTTGCATTTGCTCACAATGTCTTTGTGTTTTCTTGGAGGAACTCAAATTTAACGCAAAAGCATTAAAATAATTTTCCTTCCATCTCATATTTTAGTCTGTAGTCATAAAGACTAGCGCAGTCCACATCACAACTATAATGATAATGAAAAATTGTTGGAATCACTTTCAGAATGTTTTTTTCCAGGTCATGAACTCAACAGCCAATCACAATCCACCTGACTTTAAAGAGCTAGAACATTTAAAGCGGCAAACGACAAAACTGCATATAACGTTCTTTTAACAGCCTAAACAAAATATCGTTCATTGGTGTGACAGCACCTTAAAGGTGCCATATCATGAAAATCTGACTTTTCCAGGTTTTAAGTGCTATAATCAGGTCCCTGGTGCATCTACCAACCAAGGAAACGTGAAAAAGATTAATCCAGTAACTTTGTTTTAGTAAGCCTTTTTCTGCAAGGTTCTGAGAAAACGAGCGCATCTGATTTCGCTCCCTTGGTGACGTGGCAAAGGGATCTCATTATAATATTACCGCCCCTTAATCTGTAAACTTCCACTCAAGGCACCTCATTTTGATTTCGCAAGCTACAACGGTGTACCAGCTCTAATGCCATGGCAAAGGTTTGAGCAAAACACGCTAACTGTTCTGCCTTTGGCTGCACAGACGAGCACAGAACACTATTTAGAGTCCCAGCCTCAGAGGAGACAAGAGAGCAGTGGATTTATTGATTTATTTACTGTATATTGCTGCTGCCACACAGATCTAAAATAAACATGCTATTTATTTCCCAGCTGTTTACCTTCACAGACATAACCGACTGTTTTTGTAACGTTAACTCGTGTGTTTTAACGTAAACTTGTGTGTGAATGTGAACTTAGTTTAGTACTCACATGCTGTGACAGCCGCTTTCTGTCCGTGTGCTTCGGACGTGTGCGCTCAGAAAACCTTATATCTGAAGTTTAAACTCATACGGTTTAAAAGGCATGATTTCAGCGTGATAAACATGATAATCAGAACCAAAACAGATGTTTTTAGCAGGTACAAGCTGTAATAGCGCAGCTCTATTCTGGAAAAGGGGGCGGGGAGCAGCAGCTCATTTGCATTTAAAGAGACAGGCACGAAAAACAGCGTGTTTTTGCTTCCACTCAAAATAGGCATTTTCAAAATGATATAATAAATGATCCCTGGAGTATTTTGAGCTGAAACTTCACAGACACATTCTGGGGACTGTAAAAAGGGGCATAATATGTCACCTTTAAGTTCTTGGTGTGAACGGGCCTTAACTGTGAGAAGACATCCAATATAATTTAAGGATTTTGTATCCTTTTTTGTATTTTGTATCCCACATACACATTTTCTTGGGAAGAACAACTTGCTGAAACCAGAAAACCGCCCACCATGTCTCGCAGGAGGAATGTTTTAGTTGTTTTTAAACCCCGATGTCCATTTTAGGAGATATTGCACAAGTATTCCTGGCATTAACCATTGGTTAAACTGTGGCGTTCTGCAGCGCATCTAAGAGGTTATTATTAGAAAGAGCCTCAAGTTGCTGATATTTCGGGACTAACAAAAGCAAGCCATCGGTCTTCTCATGCATATTAATGAGATTAATGAATGAGATGTGGGATGTCTTTGAGAATACAATCTTACTTTGAAGCCTCTACCATGCCCTTTAAGATGCTCATGCGTGTCAAGCTGTGATTCAACATAAAATCAATTTTAATATGCATCAGTTCAAAATGTTGGTCAAAACTGCTTTGGAGAGCTTGCATTTCAGCTGCACTAGAATCAGTGGATCCTCATGGAATTACTGAGCAGCAAGAAACCAGCGTTTTTCAGATGATCAGCGTTATATAATAGAAGTGTCATTTCACATTTCTGTATATCAGGGAAAGCATATTGTGAGCGTCTGGCTATGGTGTTACACAGGCTGTGCTCGAGCTCCCATTCCTGTCTGCTGAAGCAGTTACCATGGGAACACCTTTTTCCCTAGTATTGGGGGAGCATTGAAGTGTTGTTTTGAAGTATTTGAAATGCTGGTCTTGCACAGTTTAGCATTTAGTTCCTGTTAATCTTTGGGCGTTAAAACTTGTGTTTTACTAGCTATTTATTGCATTCAAGTCCTTTGTTCTGCTTGAATACTTTATAATTGAATAGCCTACTTGTTTTATTTTTTTATGAACTCATTCATTTAATTTGTTAGTTATATGTAGCCTATAATTGATTCAGATTTATAGATGTATTTCTTTATTATTTAGTTTAAAGTTTAGAGGCCATCAAAAAGGCTGTTTTAACTTGATGATGAGATTATACATCACGTTTTTACAGTAATGTATATCATGTTTTATTTGTGTTTCCTGTAACAACAGTCATAGATCTGTACTTCTCTTTATTAATATTCATTTTAAATTGTAAACTTTTTAAAGGAATGTATTTAGGCTTATATGTTATAATGACCTAGAGTCTAGACCAAACATTTGATATAAATTCAGTTTGAGAGAACAAATCTTTCTACAAAGTTTCCTCAAATCTGTGCGTAACTGTAGAGTGACATCTGGTGGAACTGTGCTGTTAAAAAAAACTCCAGCTGACTATTTAAGAAATTGTCAGCTGACTTTTATAATATAGTATATCAGATCAATAAATTCACACAAAACAGTATTAGCTGAAAAATATTTTATATTTATAAAAACATAGAGAACTTCCGCCTTTTGTGTTGACAAAAGATATTTCCCAGTATTAAAACATTTAACATGAACAATTAACATACATCTGTGGAACCTTAGCCTATATAACAATTCTTAAAATATTAAAATGTTAATTTATTTAATCTATTCCTGACATTGATGCAAAAATACACAGGAAATTATGAATGGATATTTCTGAAATTGTTAAAAATAAATGGATATTTTTAAAAGGTTATTCAAATAAATAACAATATTACATTACATTACAACTGTGCATCTATATGCAATGAAAAATGATACTGTTAAAAGGATATTTTTAATAATCATAACTAAAAAAATGGTTTAAGTGGTATAATATAGTATATCAGATCAATAAATTCACACAAAACAGTATTAGCTGAAAAATATTTTACATTACAACTGTGCATCTATATGCAATGAAAAATGATACTGTTAAAAGGATATTTTTAATAATCATAACTAAAAAAATGGTTTAAGTGGGACTTAACGACTAATAAAATAATAGTTTATAAATTCAGTAACTATCTAATTACTCTTTTATAAAAAAAATATTGCTAACATTTATAAATAAAAAGATTTTTATAAAAAAAAATATTCAGCTTTACTTATTTAGAAGAAAATTATAATTCATAAATGTCTACAGCCATAAAATTATTCTTATAAAATATGAAAAATGTTCATTTATTTGACTTTCTATTTTAAATTATTATAATTAATTTATATATGGCATTAATACAAAAATACAACAATATAATATAATATTATAACTAATAATAATTCTATTTTTTTCTGAAATGGTTAACATTTTTGGATAGATTGAAATTTATTCAAACAAACAAATGAAGACATTAAATTAATCAATTTGCAAGTGTGTGTGAAAATGTCATGAAGGAATAATTCATTATATTATTAGACTATAAGAAAGATATTTCGGTCATAAATTTAACCTAGCATAAATGAACGAAAAAAAAATGAATGAATGGATGAATGAGTGCATGAATGAATGATTCACTTCTAAATAAAATAAAATGTATGAATAATTCTACCACGGATGAATGAATGAGGTTTCTGTTGGTTTTGTTTAATCCTACACTGACGCACGCGACGTAACGACTCTTCGCTGTCTCGCGTCCAGACGCTCGTGAAGCCGCAGTGCCGCTCAACGGCTAACGTTACCGGAGACGCTTGGCGGAAAAATGCTCCCGCTATCCATCAAAGACGATGAGTACAAACCTGCCAAATTCAACCTGTTCGTCAAGATATCGGGCTGGTTCAGGTAAAGACAGCAACATGCTAAATATTTCATTGAGTTTCACTCAAAGCTGTCGGCTGTGTGGCTAAGGCAGTTAGCATGCTAGTTAGCTCGCGAGACTTTATTAGAAATTAAAGAGTCTTTTAAATATCATTTGAACTTTTCTTTTCTTTTTTTAAACGCAACTATTATATGCTAACAAGCAGACCGCTTCAGCTAATTTTTCAGCCGGACAGATTTTAGCAGGACGACGTAAAAGTTAGACACAACCGATATTATCTTTCATTTTACTTCATAAAATGTGTTCAAACATATTCCGCAACAAAATGCTGCTATCAAGAGATTATTTGGTCCGCATGTCATTTTTTCTAAACCATTTTATTTCAATAAACTACAGTAGTGTATTTGCTTAGCTGTGGGTTCCTAGTACAGCCAGTCTGTCTGGTCAGGCCACTTTATAAGTCAATCGGTCTGAAACCACTTAATTCTTTTGTCTTTGTGTCCTTCCCCAGATCAATTCTTGCTGATAAAACCTCTCGCAATCTGTTTTTCTTCCTGTGTTTGAACCTGTCCTTCGCGTTCGTGGAGCTGCTGTATGGCATATGGAGTAACAGGTAACAGTAGGGGGCCAAACACAAGAATATGCCACGTAGGTCTAAATGTGGGATGAGCTAGTGTGCTTTTGTTTTGGGGCCCCAGCTTCTGTTTGCAATGTTTTGATTGGGGCTTCTCCCATGAGCTGTTATCGTAGTCGTCCTTGAAGTGAGATTTACGGCTGATCAAAGTTCAGCAAATACAGGAGGATGTGTCTCGAAACCTATTGAGGTGCCTATCTAGACAATATGTTTCAGGTGTGTTTGAACGTTCAAATACACGTCTGATGCCTGAAAATGCATTTTAGATAGCAGATCTTGCTTGGTTTTGAGAAACAGCCGGAATATTTTCTATATAACTCTTGTGGGGAAAATCCCGTGGATAAAAGGAAGTGACGTTAACCATTTGGATGCCATTGTATATGAACAACTATATGTCTTTCTATTCGTACATCGTGCATGCACTTTAACTGAGAGTGTAACACTGTTGGTTTAGGCTCAATAAAAAGATTTATATCTGATTTTTTTATTATCAGGTCGCACACACTTACAGTAGTTTGCAGTGACCGAGTGAGCAGAAGTTATGTCTTTTTAGTTGATGTGATTTTAGGTGACATTGTAGTTAGAGGTACAACCGAATCGAGCATTTCAGCATTATGCAAATGACGCAATCCCACAATTTTCTTTTGTTGTTGTTTATTATAATAATTTATTTAATGTGCAATCTGTCATTTGATAATATTATGCTAAAAATGGACACAATCTCATGAATTGGAGTGCAGTCAGTGAAGGTTTTATTATTATTATCATTATTATTATTAAAAATCAATAATAATACTAGTAGTAATATAATATATAATAGTATACATTTTTATTTATTTGTGTTGGTGTTTATAATACTTTATTTAAAACAATGATAATGTTATGCAGTTGATGATACTATGCAAATTGCACAATCCCTAAATGTGTTGGTGTTATTGTTTATTATAATAATTTATTTAATGTGCTAGCTTTCATTTAATAATATTATGCAAAAAAGACACAATCCCATGAATAGGAGTGCAGACAGTGAAGCTTTTATTATTGTTATAATCAATAATAGTATCAGTAATAATATAAGTGTACATTTTTATTTATTTATTACATTTGTTGTTGTTTATAATACATTATTTAAACAATGGTAATATTATGCAGTTGATTATTAATTGAATATTATGCAAGTTGTACAATCCAACAATGATGGTTATTAATTTACTTTACTAATTATAATAATTATTAATTAAATTAAAATGCTTTATATACAATTTATCTGTTTAGATCACTATTAAATATAAACGTATTAGTAAGAGTGTAATTGAGTTATTACATGCTTGTTTTTTATTTATTATTAAATGTTTCAAATGTATTTATTTATATATTCATTTATTTATTTCATTTTGCATAGTTTGACCCATTCGAAACTAACTTGACAACCAAATCTCTGTCAGCATGAATGAACCTTTTGGACTGTTTTGTTTTGGTCTCTAAGTGAAAAACTGAACGTCTAACAAAAGACTCTACACAATGTGACTCTGACCTCAATATGGGGGAGGATGCGTTTCTCAGGTTTCCTGATAATTCAACACTTCCCTTTTTGTGTTGGTTTGATTCTCAGTTTAGGGTTGATATCCGATTCCTTTCACATGTTCTTTGACTGCACCGCTCTCCTGGCAGGCCTTGCAGCATCAGTCATTTCACGGTGGAGGTCCAATGACTCCTTCTCATACGGGTGAGAGAACATTACAGTCGAACTTACTTTAAAAAGAGCTTTTGTGGGTTGAGTACCAATGACACAAGTTTCCTAAAAATGATGCATTCACTTCTGCCTGAGTAGTGTTGACAGGAAACTGCATGTCTTTGCTTTCATCACTGGGTTGTTATGCAAGTCCATTTTTATTATTTTGTAGGTATGTCAGAGCAGAAGTGCTCGCAGGATTCGTGAATGGCCTTTTCCTCATCTTTACCGCCTTCTTTATCTTCTCAGAAGGAGTAGAGGTGTGTACTAGAAGAAGATTACAGTTGATTTACTTGTTCACTAATATGTTTTTGTTGAATGATGGCATCTCGTCTTGTCACCAGAGAGCGCTGGAACCCCCTGATGTGCACCATGAGCGTTTGCTCCCGGTGTCTATAGCAGGGCTGCTGGTGAATCTTGTAGGAATATTCGTTTTTCAACACGGAGGACATGGACATTCACATGGCGGTGAAGGTAATTATCTCACATAGAATAAGCGTACCATCACGTTTTTAATTAAAAACATTCCCCCTCAAGTTTCAATAATATTCTGGTTTATGGGATTTTTTAAATGCTGTTTTCATACCCAGCAGGTAAAAAATCTGCCAAAAAACAACAACTTTTCACTATCATAAAAATTACAGTGTATATATGTGTATTTTTAATGTTTCTCAGAGAAGTCTTCTATGTTTCAGAGATATTAAAAAATCCTAGTTATTCTGAACTTTTGATCAGTAGTGTATATATAATGAAGATAAATAGAAATATAGATAGATACTTAAAAAAAAAAAACCTTCAATGTAAAGATATATAAATCTAAAAATATAAATGTATATTTAAAAAAAAAAGTGTATTTATATATAAATAATTTTTTTTTATGTATAAAACAAACTATGTACATCAATAAGCTATTGTGTTTTATATAAATGTTTATATTAATCATTTTTTATGTTTCTAACATAACATTTTATGTTTGTTATAAATGCTATACGTATAAATATATATTCTTAGAATACAAGTGTATATATAAATGTATTTTTATTAGCATTTAAAATAGTGCTGTCAAATCGATTAATCGCAATTAATCGCATCCAAAAATAAAAGTTTGTATTTACATAATACTTGTATGTGAACTGTATCTATTTATATGTGTATAGTCATTAACATTTATATAAAATAGTGTTTAATTATTATTATTATTATAATAAGGTGCATAGTTTCTTTATAGATATGTCCTCTTATTTTTAAGGTCATGGCCACAGTCATTCTCTATTTAATGGCAGTGTGGGACATGGACACAGTCATGGAGGCCACAGTCACGAGTCCAAACACGGACACGATGATCACGGGCATTCACACGGAGGACACGGGCATTCACATGATGATCCTCACTGCCATGGTAAAACCTCAAGCTACCTTATTGTTTTGAGTACCTTAACAGTTTCTGTTATGACTCCGTACCATTATAATGCATCAGATGTGTTATTTGGTCCTCATGATGTGTGAAAATTGCAGAATCTGTTTTGATCGTAATGGTGTCTGGTATAGCGTGATTCATTTCTAATCTGTCCGTGTCCTCAGATGACCATTTGCACACACCGGGAAAAGGCTCCAGCAAGCAGATATTACAAGGTATGTCTGTTTTCTATGTTTGTACTCCTCCAGATGGCGCTAGAAGTCTCTTTGTCGCAATATTTGCCTCGCTTTTGAACAGGCACCAGATATGAAAATATTTACAATAACATCTATCAGGTCTAGACAGCTTTTTCCTCTTTTGTAGGTGGACAATATTATGAATTCTTAATAGATGAGGTCCTATAATCAATTTTCTTCATTTAACCACTTGGGAGGGGGGCACTTAACACTGGCACTGGAGCAAACGTGGTACACTGTCGCTTTAAATCCCTTTGTCCAAGCTTGTGTGGGAAAGAGCAGAGAAAGTAGTTTGTCCCCTTCACTCTGGCACACACAGAGAGAGAATGGATCTTTTGGGAGGCCTGCTCAAGGGAGAAAGAACGGGGCACTGAGGGAGGACCATGTAGAGAGGGGGAGGAGAGGAGAGGTGACAGTGCAAAAGGTTACGCTGCCTCCATCCCAGCCGAGGGACCTCTTCTGCACTCACCGTGATGAATTGCAAGTGGATTTTACCAGCCTCCTGTCTATTTTGGCTATGTTTATTAAGCTTACTTTTTACAAAGAATACTTGGTAGATGTACTCTGTTTGACAAAACGGCACTATGCAATATAATGCACTGCACAGACTGCTGTATTCCAGAATGCAATGCAGTTGACTTTCCTTTTGCGGTGTGATAAATTATCCATAATTTGTCTAAAAATGTGTTTATATAATGGTTACATTATATAAACACATTAAAGACATTAAAAACATTTTTATTTAATTACTATTGCCATTCATTAAAATAGTGATAATTTATTATAATTTTACAAAAAATATACTGGAATATTATTATAATAAGACAACATTTTATTTATTTGTTATTTTTGCTCATTATTATTATTTTAGTAATATTTTGGAAAAAAGTTATTATCATAGCTATTATTTAATTACTATAATTGGAATACTAATAAAATTAGTGATTCATATTATTTTATAAAAACATAATATTTTACAAACAATATAATGGGATATTTTATTATTGTTGTTATTAGTGCTGTCAAATGATTAATCACATCCTAAATAAAAGTTTTTGTTTGCATAATATATGTGTGTGTACTGTGTATATTTATGATTTATATATAAATACACACACACAGTATATATTTTGAAAATATTTACATGTATTTACATTTATATATTTATTTTCTTATATATTTAATATATAAACATAACATATTTTTCTTAAATGTATACATGCATGTGTTTGTATTTATATATACATAATATATGTGTGTGTGCTGTGTATATTTATTATGTAAACAAAAACGTTTATTTTGGATGTGATTAATCGTGATTAATCGCTTGACAGCACTAGTTATTATTAAATGAATAATACGTTTATTCATATATTGTTTTTTTGCAAACGATAAATATTTTCATTAATCATAATCATTGTCATTATTATTATTTATTACTATTTTATAAAAACAGATTATTAGATTATTTGTGGAAATGTGATACAAAAAATTGATTAATAATTAAATTATTATTAGTAGTAATATTAATGAAAGGCAGATATTTTTAATAAAACATTTTCATATTTACAATTTTAATATTTTCTAATCATTATTATTATTATTTTACAAAAACAGATACAAAATAGATGAATATTATAATTATTAGTAGTAGTAATGAAAGGAATTAATTATATGAATTTTTATATCTATAATTTTAATAATTTAGAATAATTTATTATCATAATTGTTAATTTTAATATCATTATCAGGGTTCCCACACTTCTTGAAAGTACTTGAAATACTTGAATTTCAGACATATGGATTCAAGGCCTGGAAAGTATTTTAAAACAAACATAGGTCCTTGAAAGTGCTTGAATTGTTTATGCAGGGATTAAAGTTTTCCATCGCTACGACGGATTTCCGTCAATTGGAAAAAAAATTAGGGGAAAAGAAACATGTAGCGCATTGTTGTTGTTCTGCCGGCACACCAAAATTCATTCCCAGCCACGGCTGCAGCTTCTCAGTGACAACATAGTGACCCCGCTCGCATCATTCACAGTCGGGTTATTAGCAGAGAACACAGAGCAGGACTTGAATTTCGGCCCGAGATTGCGGCTATTAATTACAATTGTACTCATTCCTGCAGGTTCCGCGCTTATAACGCGATGACAGATGACGGAACGTATCATTTGCACGTGCTTTTGAGTCTTGAGAACTCCCTCGCGCGTGCTCATTTTCTGTGTGCCCACAGATCGCGATAAGGAGAGTGACAGCCTTTAATAGTTATTAAGGGAGTTTGCAAATGTGATATTGATTCAATACAGCGGTTCAGTAAACAAGTACTGCCTGATTTTGCTCTATTTCTTTAACGAAAATAGTTCCAAATATAGTAACAGCTCAGCCACTTCGCATCTCTAAAAGCAAACACAGCTGAGTTTCATTCATTCAATGAAAGTGCGTTTTTGAACGAATCTAGTAAGTCAGTGATTCATGATTACCCATTCATAAAGACAGTCACTTGCTTCATTCCTGAATGAATCAGCCATTCGACGAATCAATTGAATGAATGATTTTGTGATAAAATCAGTGACTTGTCGGCACCTGCTGGTGGATTTAGTTTATCATTTCAGTTATTTAAATCATTTAATATATCTGAATTCAACATTTTATGTTTAAAACATTAATCTCCACATAAATATATGAATTTAATTGCACTCATGCCACCTCTGAGCCTCATTATACGTCTGAAAATGTACATGTGCCACCTCTGAACAAAATTATTTTTTTATTAATACTAATTTCATATGATTGGTAACCTATTTGTCTTATTCTACTACTTATTATATTGTTTTAAATATAAATTTTAAAAAGCTTATAAACATACATTTTTGAATTTGACAGATGAAAAAGATGCCATTACAAAGGTAAAAAGAAAATACCCCTGTAAGTCACTTTGAGTCAAATGTCACCTCGTATTAGGAAGGCTAATTTTTGATCAGAATTTTTTATTATTGATCAGAAGGTGCTCCTAAATTAAAAAAAAAAATGCTTTAAACTGTGTGTGTGTGTGTGTGACAGGTATGGCTGTGGAATGGGGTTTGGCTGAGGAAAAATTTTCAGTCAAAAGATTTTTTTTTTTTTTTTTGTTTTAACCTTTTTATGGCGCCATTTCAAAAATTGTCCTATATGTTCTGTCAAAGACAGAACGAAACGGCACTAATGATTGGGGGTGGAGATGGGGTAGCCGAAAAAAACTTAGCGTGTGTGTTGATGCGCAGCCTAGAGCCTTGGGGACAGTTTTCTTTAGCCAGAAAGGCTAAAGCTCCCGCAAACATTCTAATATTGTACATTATTTTCGCACATCAGGGAGCCGCTATCAATATGCGGGGTATTAAAATCGCATTTGAATGAGCACTCGCTGTTCACTTTCACTTGTAAAGGGAGCACATCTTACAGTGCGTGCATAATTATTAGGCACGTTGATATTCTGATCATAGTTTTTTCCAAGCACCTTTTACCAATGCCAAACCACATCAATCTGTGTCACATCAAAACTACTATTATTTTTGTATTTTT